TACCACTAAGTCTCCTGACTGGATGCAGAGCACCAGAGTGGAGTGGTGTTTCAAAACCATGAAACTGACTGCTTGGAGCCCAGACAAGCTTTCCCTGATTCCCATCCTCCTCCCAAAGAACTATTTGTTTTACTGGTTCATTCAATATAACCTGTAAGCCCCGCAAGGGCAAGGATCACATCTGTTTTATTAGTGCCTACTCCAAATCTAGCACACAGTAGGTGCTCAATTAATTGAATGAATGAATGACGTGGATGAACCGGCAGAATAATGATCGAATTGCCAATGGCACTGTAACAAGTTGAGTCAGACTAGTATAATCACGTACAGCACTCGGGGGCCACCAAAAAGTTTAAGGTCAGGTGAGAGACAGCAACTTCCCAAGAATTTTCTATAAGTAGAATTATAGAGTGTGTGCTCTTTTTGATCCGGCCTTTTTCTTCTTTCTTTCCAGTGAAATTATTTTGAGATCTCTCCTAGCTGTGGCACGTACCGACAGTTCATTACTTTTTAAATGCTGAGCAGTATTCAATGCATGGATACAGCACAGTTTACCCATGCACTAGATAAAAGATTGGTTGTTTTCTATTTCTCTATCACAGTACAGCTGGACCTAGGGATAGAATGTCTAGCTCACGTGATAGGTGTCTATATATTTAAAAAAATTTTTTTAGTGTTTATTATTTATTTTTGAGAGGGAGAGAAAGAGAGAGCGAGTACGAGTTGGGGAAGGGGCAGAGAGGGGAAGACACAGAATTGAGGCAGCCTCCAGGCTCTGAGCTGTCAGCACAGAGTCTGATGCAGGGCTCCAACCTGCGAACTGTGAGATCATGACCTGAGCCGAAGCCGGATGCTTAACCGACGGAGCCACCGTGGCACCCCTCAAACTTTTTAACAAAATGTCAAACGTTTAAAAAGTGGTTGTACCATTTTACATTTCCACCAACAGCGTATCTGAGTTCTGGTTCCTGCACATCCCTATCAGTCATCCTCTAGTCAGCCTCCTTAATTTTAGCCATCCTATTAGGTAGCAAGTGATCTCTCACTGCGGTTTTGATGTGCATTTCCCTAATGATGAATTATCTGGAGCGTCTTTTCAAGTGCTTACTTGCCACTCATATGTCTTCCTTGGGCACCACGGTATGTTTAAATTACAAAAGAAACGTTCACTCATTACATACTTTAGACAAACAGAACGGAATGTTATAAACAGTATGTAATCCCCCACCGCCAATCCCCACCCGCATCACACACACTGATAATCAAAGGTGCCTAAGAACCATCAAGAACCCTTGTCAGGCAGGCCAATTCTTGCCCCCATTCTTGAAGATTTTTTTTTTAAGTTTATGTATGTATATATTTAATGTTCATTTGAGAAAGAGCGTGAGCAGGGGTGGAGGTGGGTGGCGGGAGGCAGAGAGAGAAGAAAGAAAGAATGCCAAGCAGGCTCTGTGTCATGAGATCATGACCTGAGCCAAAAAACCAAGAGCCCAACCAACTGAGCCACCCAGGTGCCCTGCCCCACCCTCAAAGGTTCTGGTTCAGGAGGTCAGAGATGGCTCATTTCAACGAATCCTTAAGTGATTCTGATGCCAGTAGTCTGTAGACCATTTCTTGAGAAATTCTGCTTTTCCTACTAAAGAATTGTTGAAGGAATGAAGACAGCGAGTCTGGAGGGAGAAACATGAAGGGGCTGCGTGGGCTGTGTTCAAATAAGGAAGAGCCTTGGCCTGAGGCAGAGAGCATGTCTGCCTGATGCTGTCCTACAGGGCACCAAATGTTTGGAACCTAAAAGTCAAATTGGAAGAAACTTTCTAGTGGGGCGCCCAGGGGGCTCAGTTGGTTGGGCACCCAACTTCGGCTCAGGTCATGATCTCGTGGTTCCTGGGTTCGAGCCCTGCATGGGCTCTGTGCTGACAGCCCAGAGCTTGAAGCCTGCTTCAGATTCTGTGTGTGTGTGTCTCTCTCTCCCTGCCCCTCCCCTGTTTGTGCGCGCGCGCTCTCACGCGCTTTCTCTCTCTCTCTCTCTCTCAAAAATAAATAAAAGCATTTCAAAAAAAGAAAGAAAGAAAAAAGAAAACACGTTCTAGGAGCGCCTGGCTGGCCCAGTTGGTAGAGCAGGTGACTCTTGACCTTGGGGTTGTGAGTTCAAGCCCCACAACAGATGGGCCACTTACTTTAAGAGAAAAAACAGAGTTACTGGGAAACAAAATTGGTCCACAGAGCCAGGAAGGGAAGGAATGTGCCAAAGTCACCGAACTTGCAAAAAAAAAAAAAAAGGACTTCTCCGGGTTGAGAAATGACTGGCAGAAACTGAGGCAGAGAAGGGGTAAGAGGGATCACAGATACACACATACACATTCTCTGTTTCCAAGGAAAAAACTCTCCTTTATAAATACCCAGAGAGGCTTGTAAGCCACCAGACAGGTAGTGTGTGTCTTAATCCAAATTAAATAGCAGCTATTTGCCCTCAGCCAGATTTCCCTGACTATTTGCAAGGCCTAAAATGGTAGAGAAAGGACTACACAGTATTTTGTAGGAGCAGTTCTTTTTATAGCTAAGTAGGCCTGCCCAGGCCCTGTCCTCACAATTTTGAATCCACAGACTTTAAAACTCTTAATGAACAACCAACAGGCTTTGGACAATCAAGCTCAACAAACGCCATTTTGCTTCAGTTACAGCACTCGCACACCCCCCGCATGAGTTAAATAAAAAGCCATTTATTTGATCTAGAATAGAAGCAGTGAAAGCACTATTTACCATGGCAGGCTGCTGATCCAAGAGGGATGACAGCCAGCTGCCAGCAACTCCCGTCCCCCGGGAAGAGGCTCGGCTGAGGCCCCATCACCTGGTAAGACTGTGTGTTGCCCGGGCCCCCACGTATGCTCTCCTCTATCCTCTCATGTAAAACCAAACTATACAAGTGCTGGCTCCATTCAAAAGAGGCAGGCGAGGCCCAATAAGCCGTCCTTGTTCGAATGTCTGGTAGCTTCAGGGCACCTGGGTGGCTCAGTCAGTTGAGAGTCTGGACTCTTGATTTAGGCTATGGTCATGATCCCAGGGTTGGGGATCAAGCCCTGAGTCAGACTCCACACTGAGCATGGAGCCTGCTTGAGATTCTCTCTCTCCTAGAGGCACCTGGGGACTCAGGTCATAATCTCATGATTTGTGAGTTAGAGCCCCACATCAGGCTCACTACTGTCAGCCTGTCAGCGGAGAGCCCGCTTCAGATCCTCTGTTCCCCTCTCTCTGCCCCTCCCCTGCTTGCACTCTCCCAAAATAAATAAATTAATTTTTTAAAAAAGATTCTCTCTCTCCCCTGCTGGCACACACTCTCTCTCCCTAAAATAAAAATAATAATAATTAAGAAAAAAAAAAAAAAAGAACCGGGTGGCCGGTTAGCTCAGTCAGTTAAGCATCAGACTTTGGCTTAGGTCATGATTTCACGATTTGTGAGTTCAAGCCCCACATCAGGCTCCCCACTGGTAGTGTAGAGCCTGCTTAGGATTCTCTCTCTCTCCCTCTCTGCCTCTCCCCTACTTGCATGCACGCACTCTCTCTCTCTCTCAAAATAAATAAACTTAAAAAAAAGGAGGGGCACCTGGGTGGCTCAGTCAGTTAAGCATCCAACTTCGGCTCTGGTCATGATTTCGTAGTTGGTAGGGTTCAAGCCCTGCATCAGGCTCTGTGCTGACAGTTCAGAGCCTGGACTCTGCTTTGGATTCTGTGTCTCTCTCTCTTATCTGCCTCTCCCCTGCTCATGCTGTCTATCTCTCTCTCTCTCTCAAAAATAAATAGACATTAAAAAAAAAAAGAATGTCGGATAGCTTCTACTCTCGGCATTTCACTTGCGGCCAAATATTGATGCCGTGCCTTGCTGCACTTTTATTCAGGCTATCATCGTCACGATATGTGCCGCTGCTTCTAAGTCATAACAGGGTTCACTTTAGAGCTTCATGTTTATAATTTTTTAAATTTTGTTTTATTTCAGCTACAGCCCAATTTCTCCCAGGGCATCACCCTTCCTAACCTGCACAGCAGCAGGCCACTGGCTTCTGTGCACCAGCACCTTTACTAAGCACTTACTACGCACCAGGCACGGGTTCCGCCTTCATTCTTAAGTCTGACAATAACTTGAAGGATGAAGCAGACAATCTTATCCGTATTTCACAGATAAAACTGGGCACTGGAGAGGTTAAACTACTGGTCCAAGTTCACACAGCTAGCAGGGTCAGGACATCGGACTGACGGCAAGTACTGGCTTATTTCCCAGCAGCCTCCCTTTAAAGGAGCAAAAGAATGCTCTGAGCAACACAGCCTGAATGCCGGCCTTCAGTCACTTCTTGCAGCAGAATGCTTCGTGTCAAGTCTGAAACCCTGAGCAAGGTTATGTGTGAATCCTGGGGCGGAGAGGGACTCAGATTTCTAAGGGGTCAGGGATCCCGTGAAGCTGAAGATGTGGCCAGGCTGCTGTCAGTTTCTCTGTTCCCCTCCAAGTTCTGAGCGCTCACTGTGCACGGAGCACTGTAGGGGGAGCCGGACAGCCAGGCTTCTGGTCCCAGTTTTGGCTGCCTCTCTGGGGGTCTTTGACCAAGGCGGCTCACCATGGGGATGCAAATTTCCTTTCTCTTTCCCTCTGGCCTTGACTGTCTAGTCATAATTATATTTTCCTTCTCAAGGATTCTTTACTATTGTTTGTATCTTCAAATTGTTTTAACCTATGGGTTCTTATTAAAAGTCACCCCAGATCCTACACTGAAGCAGGAGGGGGATAAGTTTTCTTTTTAGGCCACCTTACCTCTCTGGGCCTTAGTTTCGCACCTGTAAAAAGGTCACAAGGATCAGGTTGCCTGCATTCGCCTAAGGCCCGAGACACAAAGCTCACCCCGCCACCCGGGTCGGGACGTCGCGGCTTGCGCGCTCCCCACCTCCGCACTTGAACCTGAGCGCCCCTCCGCGCCCGGCGCGCCCACCCCGCCCCAACAGCCCCGCGCACTCACCTCGCGGGGCTCGGCCTCGGGCGACGCCGCGGCGGGGGCGCCAGGGGCGCCCGGCTCCCCGGCCCCGCGCCGCGCCTGGGCCTCGGCGCTGCGGGTCCCACGGAGGGCGCGGGCGGGCGCGGCTCTGCCCACGCTGCGCGCGTGCGTGCGCCGCGGAGGGGCGGCCGCTCCCGCGCCTTTGTCAATTGTCTGCGGCCAGGTTGTTTTCCACTCGCTGCTCCCGGGACCAGCCGAACCGGGGTGGCCTCGGCCCTGGCCCGCCGCCAGCGCAGAGAGCTGCGGCGCCTGAGAGCGCAGCGCGCGCCCGGGGCCCGCCCACCTTGCCTTCAAGTTCACGAGTCTTCTCGCCGGGGCGCGGCACCCCCCGCACCCGGGCCAGCCCCTTGGGCCACCTGGTAGGAATGTTGACCCCTAGATCACTGAATGTCTGTACATCTGTGCCTCTGCCCGACGCACTGGACATTAGGGCTGGACCTTGATTTCATTCAGAGTGTTCGCTGCCTAGGACCTCTGGGGTCTTACCCCGCCCTCCCATGAAGTCAATCTTAGACTAATCTGCCCGTCTCCCTGCACTCCAGCCTCCTTTTCTAGGATATGAAGGTATTCTCCATTCTCTCCCTGCTGGAAATGGGACGCTGTCCTAGGCACTAAGTATTCAGTAGTCCACGGGGCAGACAAGGTCCTCTTAGGGGGGTGGTGGATGACGTGGTCCGTGAACACTGACACTGAAATGGTAATTGCAAAAAAAAAAAAAAAAAAAAGTGATAATTGCAATGAAAATGTTTCCTCTCAGGACAACCAAACCTTGTATGAGGGGTTAGGAATCGACTAGAGTAACTTTCCTAAATCTTCTCGGTCCTAATACTTATTCTCATTATTAGGGCTTATTGTTTGTTATTATTCATGATCGCAGCAGTAGTATTGCTTACTAAGTGCCAAGCACTATACTAAACATTGTACTTGTATTGTTTCCTTTACCTCATTGACAACTTCTCTATGAAATAGGCATGCTTCTTATTACTGGTAATATTATCCTCATTTCAGAGAAACTGAGGCCAGAAATGAAAAGGAACTTGTCCACTTGACATAGCTACTAAGCAATAGGACCAGGACTCAAGTTCAGACTGTCTGAGGCCTCAGGGTGCTTCATCACTACTCTGCACCCATAAAAATATGAAGACCAAAGTGGGGTTGCCTTCAATGTGACAGATGAGAAAAACAGAATGGGAGAGGGGTGGTCTGTTCTGTAGACAAGAAAACAAAGGAAGGTGAGAGCTTTCTGAAAGAGCTGCCCATGGAAGAGACTTCGTGCGGATGACCCAAGAAGTTACTGTCTATGAGGGACACTTTGCAACATGTAAGGTAGAACTTGTCCAACAGAACATTTCAACAGTGGGATCAGTGTCCAGAGAAAAGTGCCATTAAGGGTCAGCATTCAAAATATAACATTGTAGGGTGCCTGGCTGGCTCAGTTGGAGGAGCATGTGACTCTTGATCTCGGGGTTGTGAGTTTGAGCCCCACATTGGGTGAAGACGTTACTAAAAATAAATAAGTGAACCTTAAAGCAACCACAACAGAAACAAAATATAAAATTGCATGTCAACTGTATTTCAAGAATAAAAAATGTTTTAAAACAGCCAACATTCAAGCAGAGAGGCTTATCAGGAATGTTCAAACAAGAGTCCTGTAAAAGTTAAAGACTGGATCAGGAATCTCTAAGTTTTCTTCCCATTCTGAAGGAATTCTGGAGGGAAATGGAATCCTAGAGTGCTTAAGTGATATATCCAAAGCCCCCAGGGAGTGAAGACCTAACCCCAAAGCAAGGCTGACTTGTAAATCAGACTTGCTGTTTGTGGGGCGTCCTGAGTGCTTAGCACCTCGGTTCTCCTCCTGTAAAGTGTGTGTGTGTGTGTGTGTGTGTGTGTGTGTGTGTGTGTGTGTGAGACCAGTCTTTTCTTGGGAGTATGGAATCATCTGCTCTGTGTGTTTCACTTTATATTACTAATGTGTGCCCTTCCTGCTTGCTTACGTTGAAAACTGTGATTTCAGACACAAGTGTCAACACTCCCTGGGCAACTGCCGTAGTACCAGGATCTCAGAGGTCGTGGGGCCCCACTTCCCCAAGAAGGACTTATTTGGTAAGTTAAGGAAGAAAGAGACAAGCTGGATAATGTTTTTGTTTGAAACTTATGTTTCTTAGCTTCTGCCTGAGGACTCTGGATTATCTTGAATTAAATGCCTACAGTACTAACACTAATATCCCACCTCTTATCCTAGGTCACAAATATTTTGCTGAGCAACGATCTAACTGCCAATGTCAGAGGAACCATTATTTTCTCAGTGCTCTAGAGAGCTACTTGATTGTTTTCAAACTGGAAACCTCGAACAAAGGATTGGGATTAGCTTCTACAACATATACAAATAAATGGACACCACCTTGGCCCCCAGGGATGGTAATTCAAAGATGAAGTCTTCCTCTTCACGTCTATGGTCAACAGTGATCAACTTTCAAATTTCTTCTTTTTTAATTTTTTATTATTTAAAAATTTTTTTAACATTTATTTATTTTTGAGACAGAGAGAGACAGAGCACAAGCTGGGGAGGGGCAGAGAGAGAGGGAGACACAGAATCTGAAACAGGCTCCAGGCTCTGAGCTGTCAGCACAGAGCCTGATGTGGGGCTTGAACCCACAGACCACGAGATCATGACCTGAGCCAAAGTCAGACACTTAACCAACTGAGCCACCCAGGTGTCCCTCAACTTTCTTTTTTGAAAAGAAGATACATGTACCTGGTTCAAAACTATACTGTTAGGGCTACAGCTCATTGGTCTTTGGTTCCTCTCAATGCCTGCCATATTATCTCGTATACAGTAGGTGCCGCATAAGTGTTTATTGACTGGGTGGATGAGTGAGTGCGATTAAGAAGTTGTGGGAGACAGAGGAAGAAGTGGTTTCATTTGAACGGGGCAGCACACATTTTGCCTGAGATGCATGGGCTTCAAGGGAGCCCAGACAGAACTCCCAGACCAGTTGCACATTGGACCACGACTTTATATAGAGATCTGTACTAAAAGCAGTGGCATCGGGGGCACCTGGTTGGCTTAGTTAGATGAGCATGCTACTCTTGATCTTGGGGGTCATAAATTCAAGCCCTGCATTGGGTGCAGAGATGACTTAAATAAATAAATACTTTTTCTTTAATCTTAAAAAAAAAAAAGCAGCAGCATTAGACTCTTTTGGGTGGAGCACTACCTCAGACTATGTACCCTCCAGAGTCATTTTGCTACAAGCAATACTCACTGGTTCTGGTTAACTGAAGCATCAAAGGGATTTATTGAAATAGTACTGAGCTCAGACAATCAATGGACAGGCAGGAGAACCAGGTAGGCGTGAAGGGAGAATGGGGGCCAGACCCACAGAGGAAAGCATGCTCTAGGAAAAGTGGTGCTTCTGGACCTTGGCAGTGGACTGAGGATGGTTGCTATAGCTGGCCCAGCCATCGTTGCTGCCACCAGACACTGAATGCCACCACTACCAGAATAAGTTTTATATGCTGCCTGCTTCTCTTGGCTCCTATCTCTAGAATCACAATCCAGGCAGGATTGGCTGATCAGTCGTGCCTGAGTCCCAAGCAGTCAGCAATCAGAGAAAACTGATAACAGAGCCTTTTGGCTTCCATTAGACACAGGGCCCTGCCTCACACAGTGGTCTGTTCTCCAAACTTACAAAGGCAAGTTGTAGGCTGGGCAATCAGGAAAATGACAAATGTCCGCTACGCAGTTGTGTTCTAATAATTTGTAGCCCCAAAGGGAAAGAATTAAAGAGTACAATCTGTATGAAGTGCTGTATAATACAGCATCTGAGCTGAACTCTCAAAGCCAGTCAGTGTGGTTATTATACTTATTACCCAACTTTCTATATTTAAAAAATTTTTTAAACTAAGCTCTACACCCAATGTGTGGTTTAAACTCATGACCCCACAATCAAGAGTTAATGCTCTAACCGACTGAGCCAGCCAGGCGACCTTACCCAGCCATTTAAAATTTCATCCATCCGGGGCACCTGGGTGTCTCAGTCGGTTCGGCGTCCCACTTTGGCTCAGGTCATGATCCCATGGTCCGTGAGTTCAGGCCCCGCGTCAGGCTCTGGGCTGACAGCTCAGAGCCTGGAGCCTGCTTCGGATTCAGTGTCTCCCTCTCTCTCTGCCCCTCTCCCACTTGCACTCTGTCTCTCTCTCAAAAATAAATAAACATCTAAAAAAAATTAAAGTAAATAAATAAAATTTCATCCATCAAAGAACTTCTTTATAACACCAGTATTTTCTTCCCAAGCCTTTCCATCTCTTTCTATGTGGAATCCTTAATAATTGCACAGCTAAGCACAGAAAGGTTGAGAAGAGGTAAATGATGCCAAATGTGTACTTAGCAGCACAATAGGGGCAGTGCCATGAGCCTAATGAATCTGATGTGTTTTTCTGAGTTTTTTTTTTTAAACTGCTTACCTCTTTTAGAGTCTCAGTCTTGAGATTGTACCGATTTTTTTCATCCATCTTTGTTAAATCTACCACTCCAATTTCTACAGTAAAACTAAAAATAGGTAGAGGGGCACCTGGGTGGCTCAGTAGGTTAAGCATTCAATTTCGGCTCAGGTCATGATCTCGCAGTTCGTGGGTTTGAGCCCCACGTTGGGCTTTGTGCTGACGGCCCAGAGGTCGGAGCCTGTTTCAGATTCTGTGTCTCCCTCTCTCTCTGCCCTCCCCCCCAAAGATAAATAAACATTTAAAAAATTAATTTAAGAAATAGGTGCAAAAAATAGGCTACTTACTGAATGCCTACTATATGTTAGAAATTTCTTTTGGATAATCTTTAATCCTGACAATCACCCTATATGATTTGCATTTTATTTGCATTTTATAATTGCAGAAACAGAGACTCAGAAAGATTAACCCATCCAAGGTTACATAGGTGGCAAGTCTACCCGGTCTACCGGCTACACCATTCTGTTTCTCAGATGGCTGCTTTTTCCAAAGATTCTCATCGCCATTAAAAAAAAAATTCT